TGGGTTATAGAGGGTTAGCCATCATGGCAAAACTCACCGACTCCAGTTGACCATAAGCAAAATCCCATTGGAATCTCCTTAACAACTGGCTTCCCATCTTCCATTTGGGTGAAGAGGATTTTATCAGACTGAACTTCCTTGACTCTTGAATTGGTAAGCACATTGACTTGATCGTGAGCAAATCGTCGCTAGAAAAGTCAGTATAGCTACGATGCAACCAAACATCAAACAAGTCACATACCTCAGCATAAAGGGACAATGTTTCATCGTAAGTATTGAGAATATGGCTTCTGCTCTGGATAAGATGGACAGAAATCTCGTTTCTCAAAATCCTAGGGAATGATCTGAACAAATCTTCATTTAACATGTCAAAGAGTTCGGCAGCGAATTCGACACCGGTTGGGCCGCCTCCGCATACAACGAACGATAGAAGACGTTTCCGTTCCTCATCACTAGTGGTAGGAAGACAGGCTACTTCCAAGTTTCGAAGGACTTTTGCTTTAATCTGACGAGCATCATCAATCGATTTCAAAAAGTTACAGTGTTCAAGACCTTTGACACCGTGCTGATTGGTTGTAGAGCCTGGGAAAAGATAAGTAGTGGGACCAAAAGGGAGGAGGGCTCCGAAAGACCTACCAACTCCGATAACCAGTTTATCATACGGCAGATAGAAATTCTTTCTGTTGCCATCGCAGTCAACTTGAGATATTTCAACAAGTTTCTCGTCAAAGTCTACGTCCACCGCCTCGGCTCGAAGGAAATGTCCCCGAAGCCTCTGTACAACCAGCCTGATCGGCTCTACCAACGAGCTAAGTCCGAGGGTTCCTACCGTTGCTGAAGGGAGCATTGGAGTAAAGAGGAAGTAGTTTACAGGGGAGACAACGGTGACATGGTAGTCTCCGGGGTTCAAACTCTTCATCAATGCCACGCTGCCCCATCCGGTACCAAGAATAACGAGTTTCGGCTTATCTTTTTGCTCCAGCTTCATGTCGCAGTCGTGATCGTCCACGAGAACTTCGGCAATTGGAAGGTTCTTTGGGCCGCCCCGTCTTGGGTTAAGTGCATTCTGCGAGACAGGGATGTCAACGTTATCTGGGTCGGTACGGTAGGTGGTGGCATCGTAGACGAAAAACGCAAACACAAGACCAAAGCCGAAGAGCATCACGCCTCCACTGAAGGCCAAGACCCTGAATCCAAAGCGTAATATCCGGCTACGGCGGACTTCCTTGGTGACCTTGGAGGCTCCTGGGCCTTCTTCAGTGGTGAGTGAGCGGCATTGCGATCTCAATGTGGACGGTCGGGAGGTTCGGAAGACGTTCTCGGTGGAAAGTGGATGTCGTTGGAGGATGAGAAGCTGGCGATCGGGTATATCTTTAGGTGGGGATCGTAGAAACCGCACTGTGCTATATCCGGAGCGTTGTATGATCCTGCAGGCAGCGCATCTCGGGAGTCGGGAGCGTATAGAATGGGAGAGCATCGTAGTAGATAAGGAAGCCAGTGTCTTTTTTTTCAGGAGAAAGACCTCATCTCAGCCATTGAGGCTGGACTCCGGGGCTGATGGACGCAGCAGATGAATATAAAGCCAGCTCCAAGGCCTGGAACATCTGTCCGCTTGGTTCTCCCAGCGTATAATGTTGGCGATGGTAGAAGATGCCTTGGTCGTCGTCTTCCTTGTTGATTTTATTTAAAAGCTGCGTCACTTTTTGTTTAGTCAGGGGCATTAGGTAAGCATGGAGTAACGCTAGGCCGAGTTCGGCCATCGCCGTCTTTTTTCTTTTCTTTCTACCTCTAAAAATACTCTCAGCTTCTCCTTTTCTCCTTTTTCTCCTTGGATATTTCGTGCATGTTTTCGCCTTCTGAGGCAGACTGAGACAGCTGGCTCGTCGAGCAGAAGCCCAGGGGCAAAAGAGGGTCCACTAGTGCTGGACTGGCGTTTTTCGAGAAGCCACTGGCGCCGCGTTTGGCGCCCTCTAGTCTCTCGTCTCCGTACAAGTCTGTTGACTAGAACAACCAGGTAAGGCTGAGCGCCATTCAAAATCAGCTTTTGACTTTATTAAGAAATCCTGCTGAGATGGATGCCTGTATCATGCACACTACAGCTATACCTCCTTGTGTCTGTTGGAGCTTGCTGTTTAATTACATTGGTGTTGTTCCCTCTTTGCGACATATTAATCATGGACTCTGCTAAATTGGACGCTCAATTTATGCTCTCTGCACTACGCAGTCTATAATAAAGGACATGCCGCTCTGTAGTTCACATCATTTTATCTCTCACGCTGATGCACAATTAATAATGATATTAATAGCTTCTCTACAGTCTCTGGGTCAACCGTCTTGATTGGTCGTGTGACTCGGTCTAGATGCCCTCCGTGTACCAATTTCACCAACCAGTTGTTAAATATACACCTTGCGGGTTAATATTACAATAACGGGGTCTTGCTCAACCTCTTAATCGAGAGAAAAGTCCGTCGGCGTTATGGGAGTTTGATACATATAGTAGTCGGCACCGAGAGGCACTAAAGTGGAGTAACCAAATAAACTCTGATAAGAAATTATCTATTTTTTTTTTTTTTTTTAATTCTGCGATCAACTCACAGTATCCCACCAAAACTGGTTATCACATCTCCGGTTGCTAGGCCTCCGGCGCATATATTCATACATATAAAAATGGCAGACGGAAGCTCTAACACCAGTACTCAAGCTGGTAATGTCAGCTCGACGGTTCAGACACTGAGAACTACTTTGACATCAGAAACTACCCCGCTGGCCCGCCGTTTCCGGGCCCTGTTCTCACTCAAACATCTCGCATGTCTGCATCCGCCTACGGAAGATACTATCCCAGCCATAGACGCTATCGCCGCAGCCTTTCCTTCGCCATCTGCGCTGCTAAAGCACGAACTAGCGTACTGCCTGGGCCAAACGAAGAATTTACACGCCGTGCCATCTCTACGCCATGTGTTGGAAGATAAGAACGAGGATAGCATGTGTAGACACGAAGCCGCAGAAGCTATTGGCGCATTAGCAGACACATCAAGTCTAGATCTACTGCGGAAGCTAAGGGACGATCCAAGTGAGCCAGATGTTGTTCGAGAAACCTGTGAGATTGCAGTAGATAGGATCCTGTGGGAGACCTCCGAAGAAAGGCAGACAGAGAAGGTTAAGAAGAGGTGCGTACTACGCCTTGGTTATTCTAAACCGCAAATATGGGACTGATAATACGGATAAAAATGATGCTAACAGATAGTAAAGTGACTTCACTTCCATAGACCCTGCTCCTCCAACCGCTCTCACCTCGGAGGGTCACTCAATCCCAGCGCTCAAGGAAACTCTTCTCGACACAAGCCTTCCTCTCTTCCAACGATATCGTGCAATGTTTGCGTTACGCGACCTTTCCTCCCCACCAGATCTTCCAACTGCGCGTGAAGCAGTTGAGGCTTTGGCTGAAGGGCTTAAGGATAAATCGGCATTATTCAGACACGAAATTGCGTTTGTGTTCGGACAGCTCTCTCATCCCGCTAGCATCCCAAGCTTGGTGGCAGCACTCAGCAACAAGGAGGAGGCTGGTATGGTCCGTCATGAGGCCGCTGAGGCCCTTGGCAGTCTAGGTGACGAGGAAGGGGTAGAAGAGGTGTTGAGGAAGTTTTTGGACGACCCAGAGGTTGTTGTCAAGGATAGCGTCGTCGTCGCTCTCGATATGGCGGAGTATGAGAAAAATGGCGAACTTGAGTATAGTTTGATTCCGGAGCCGGCTGCCGCTGGTTGAGTGCTTGCTCACTCTGGAGGCCTTTTGCATGTTCAATATATTCCTGAAATGATACACGCATAATAGTCTCCTTTTAGTTGTTTGTATTATGCCTGAATTGAAAATAGACGGTTAGCAACGTGACATCTCTTGATACACTCCCATCCCAAAGTAGCCCACGTACTTGTGCCCGCATTCGCAAGTGTAGAACACCGTGCTTCCCTCGTCTGCACTACGCAGCTGCAATGTATAGTATCTCATCTCTGTCCTACCGCAATCAGGGCATGTCTCCTGAATCACAGCATCATCCTGCTTGCGTTGCTCAGCTAATGTGCGGACCGCTGAACTCTTCGATCGAAGGGATGACGGGAAGGCACTCGGTTTGGACTCGGAAACAATGGTTCTGGAAGCACGATCTAACATCATATATCAGCTCCAGGCTAAAATAGATATACACAGCGCAAAGAGGAATGCGTATTTACCTCTGTTCTGGGTTCCGCAGATGTCGCAGGTAAGAATGGTATTGGCATCGCCCGTGGATTCGCTCAAGAGATTGCCACAGTCGACACAGAATATCAATGATCCAATTGCAGACATTTTAATGAACGAAGAGGATTAGAATGTGAAACTGCTAGTGTACTCCGTTCTGACTGTGGGATGGATTTTTGTTCAAGTACTCAAGTCGATCTCGAAGCGTCTCTTGAAGATGTTGAATTTTAACTTGTTAGTTTAGCTACTTAATTTTCATTGGTTGAAACCTTAATTGAGATAGCCCCGCCAGTTAGTGCGTCGTACTTAAATATTGTTAATTGGGCTACTTCTATATCAACTGCCAATTTGATGTAACGAACATATCTTCAACCATATCCGTGCAAGGAAAAGGAGAACTATTATGATGTGATCATAAGAATGAAAAACTGCGAGATGGATGATTCGGAGAAAATTAAGAAGAATCTTAATTAGTGCTGTACCTAGCTTTCGGGCAGCATACGTACTATATTTTGTGTGAATTCAAAAGCTACCCACGCTACTTCTTGATATCTTAGCTTAGGTTCGAGGATGCTGCCCCGACTAAGCATAGTTATGATTTAATTATGCATGTCAAGTCGGAATTAAAGCCGTATTTTGATTCTGTAGGCTCTTAAGTTGGTAGAGCGAGCATCCTTAACATATCACGCTCAGAATCTGTTGCTCAAGATTATTAATCTCGCAGGAAGAATAGGCTTCTCAATGACATGCCTCCAGCCAAGTGCCTGGAATGTTCATGAAGGTAGATATGAGAATGTATGAGCCTGGATGCACGTTTGATGGTGTGTTTGCAATTCTCTCCCTCTTCCAGGTTTCGCCTGGCGAAATATACTCGATGTGCTGCAAGTTTTCTGAATGGCTGAAGCCCGGTGGGTATTTGGTTATTGGGGTGACCCCGAGTACAGACCTACCTCTGGGTGAGTACATTTATGACTCCACATGGGATTGCACGCGACAAATGGGGAAGCCATGGATGAACCGCTACACCGACGAATTGTTTTTTTCTGAGGAGCGATGGAAGGGAATTCTCCGAAGCTTTGGGTTCGAGATTGAGTCAGAGTCTCGCTATTCTTTCACCCCAAAAGATGTAGAGTTCAATCACGCACAGATTCATTATCTTCAACTAGCAAGAAAGGCCGAAAACCACCAGCTTCTAGGGCCATATCCGCAGCCTACTAAAGCTGAACTGCATCGAATGCCCCGTGCCTGCTACTTTGCCGAGAGCCTAGTAAGCGAGCAGCTGAATATTATTCTTGGGAGTTTCACAGAGGAGGAAGTCCTCTGCTTGGGATGTATCAACAAGGGTAGGTGGCGCTCAACCATCTATTTAATTCGAAAGCATGCTAAAAAACAGTTGACGAGACTGGAAGACTGGGTGAGCACCAAGCCAAACATTCGCATGTTTGACGGCACTATAGAAAAGCTGCCATTCTCGACAGAACAGTTTGACATTGTCTTGGTATCATGGCAACTTGAGTTTGCCGCGGACATGGTTTCCATAGTTGACAAAGAAGAGCTTTTTTCAAGGCTCGAACTTCATTTCTGTGGAAGTGAGCATACGATTGGCCATAACATGGCCATGCTGGACGTGAGTTTGACTGTAAATTAGGCAAGATAACCCGAAGCCTTTGGATTTCTACAGCTGTTTCCTATTGACCTCGGTTATAAAAACCACAAATATTAGTGTTTTTTTAGTATTGGTTGCCAGGTTCGGATAACTTTGATGAAACTCCATGGAAAGCAGTAGGTTCCAGTGTTGCTTTTCATTATGTACTGACGGGACACACTTTGCATGATGGGGGGCCGGAAACTGCTTTACTATCACGGTTAGTTAGCTTAGTTCAAGATACATAATCAACTAAAGAGCTATGAAAAGGTGTTAGTGTTATAGTTAGGTGGCTAGATGGCAGGCCTTACGTTTTGAATCTGTTTTGTTGCATGGCCTTAGTTACTAGGAGAGAGAGACATCGCAGCAGCCACAACTCGCCCCATAACAAGCCCGCTCCTCGTAACCAAACAACTGGGGACGATATGCATGATTATCTAACATAGCTGTGGCGCTAGGTGATATCGTTTTATGCGACCCTTGCAAGGAGTTTGGATCGTAGAAATAATCCGACGAGCTAAATCCAAATAATTGCTGGCGTTCAAATGCAGCTGTCGTTTCGCGCAGAGAGAGAGAGTCACCGCGGACGTCGCCAATGGCCCTGAACGAGATACCGAAATGCTGCCAGCTCCCTCTCCCTGCCACCGAAAGCTCTTGATCAGTAGGACACTACCATGCAGCGCCCGTTTGAGGCTGCGATACCGCGGGAGAGCAGCAGCTCGACCTACGATGTGGCCCGACGACTACCTCGTCCGCTCTCCGTGGACGCGGCCCTGCAGTTCTCGCCCATGACGAGCGCGCCGATATTTGGCCTGGGTAAGTGCAGCCTGGCTGGCGGCCTGAACAAGCGGTGCCGTGCTGACCAGACGGTCTTCTTGTCCTCTGTAGACTCGATCTTGCGGCCGGACATCGAGCAGCCCTCACTTGCAAACTGGGCGCGCACCTACGACTCCCACACCGCCGGCAGATTGATAGATACCCTCGACAATGAGACCCAGGCCAGCTCTGCGGACTCGTCTTATATCGAGACTGTCCGCAAGAACATACACGGCCTGCTGATAGGCGAAGGGTTGACGGGCGACGGCCTGACGACGATGTACAGCCTTTTCTTTTCCCCTGTGCCGATGGCTCGACTGTGCTGACTGTGAGGTGGGATGTAGTCGCTTCAAGGCGCCCCCGCGCGCTTGTCAACCTCGTCCCTCTGAAAAGACCCAGGCACCGCCAGCCAACATGGAACTGACTGCCCATGAACGGCTTGGGCCCTTTGCAAAGATGGTGCTGGATACTACCAATATACCGTTTAGATGTATGCCATGCCTCTCTCTCTCTCTCTCTCTCTCTCTTCCAGTGTCTTTATGCTTGGTTGTATATTTGCTAATGTAGCTGCAGACCCGTCACCAAGCTCTCCAAGCCCACCAAAACAAGTGCAGAGATCCAAACCAGCTCCTGCTCCTGACCAGCGTAATAGGAATACCCCTGATGATGGAGGGAAGGCAGTCTCAAAAATCCCGGACCCAGGTATGGCCGTCAAACCTGTTGTTTTGGTTCCAGCGTTCCCCGACCCCTCGCAATTGAGCGAGTACCAACATATTCCAGATACCTATGCAAAACCGCGGTTGTTGTCCCCAGCTACACAACACGCCGAATCAGTAAAGATTCGAGATCAAAGGGAAATAATCAACACAGCTGTAGCAAACCTCCAGTCTCTTCTCCAGGATGTATTTGAAAGTGAGGACGAGATGCAGCTCGAGAGCTCCCAGGATCCAGGCCAAAATATCAACAAATACTTTTACACCATGGATACCACGGAAGATAGCAGGCCGTGTCTGACCTCCGAGACCCATAAGCAACTGCAAAAGGCTTTTAGAAGTGTTTCCGGATATGGTAAACTTGGAGATATTCCTAACGAGTTCATTACGCGTATACAGAAGCTTTGTGAAGCTCCCATAATGGCGGCCCAGTCGGTTGACATCACAGTTGAAAGTGACATGTCTGAAACCAGCATGGAAAACTGGACAAAACAGCTTGGAGAGCTGGAGAATGCATTGCTCGCTATGGGCACGCTGCTACACACCATGGATGGCCGTACTGATGCAAAGGAACTTTGCTCTGAAGACATGATACAACTCATTCCGACGGCTTTAAATCATGTTTTTGAGCGTTGTGTCATACCAGCGGTCGAATGCAGGCCAAGTGGTAAGGATACAGCTCTCTTCAGCATATTTACAAGCCAAAAACAGGCGATAGCAAGCGTAACCCTGCAATCGAGGAAAATCCTGTCTCAGCTAGGCGTTTTTCTCTCTGCAGTTGACCTTGTCGAGGGTGCAATCACGGCAATGGAGTTTATGGCTACCAAGTTGATATTCGTCGAAAATGCTCACCATGAAAAAGATTCTACTATTGGAGTCCAGAGATTCGAGGCGGTTCGGCGCTGCGCTATGGACATGCTTGCGAAGATATTTGCCAAATATGCCGAGCAACGATCTTTTATCCTGGATGAGATTCTTGTGTCTCTCGAAAAGCTTCCATCTACCAGGCAAAGTGCTAGGCAATTTAAGTTAACGGACGGAAAAAGTATTCAATTGCTTTCTGCGCTGGTTGTACAGCTTGTCCAAACCACTGCAGTCAGAAGCTCTTCACAACATGCAGCAAAACCTAAATTGCGGTCATCTGGTCAAAATGAGGAGGGTGAAGACGATGATGAGTCGGGGTCCGAGGATGAAGATGACACTTCTCCATTTGTTAACCTTTCCAGACAGGTTGACCAGGCTTATGATAATGCCGTGCGTAGCGCGCAATATATCACTAGGTTCATTGTCCAACGAGCTATGACCTCAACGAAGACCGGCGATCAGCCTTACAGAAATATCCTGGACTTATTCACGGAAGATCTAATAAGCATTCTTGGCTCTTCAGAATGGCCTGGTGTCGAACTACTTCTACGGGTGTTTGCTTCTCAGATGGTTGGGATAGCAGAGCATGATAAAAGCACAGCAAATGCAAAAAATATGGCCTTGGAACTTCTAGGCTGGATGGGATCAGCAATTTCGGATTTGACCTCCACGGCACAACATTTAAACAACTCAACGGATGATGGTGACTCGGAATTAACGGAATACATAAGGCAACTGTTCGATAACCATGTGAACAGGTCATTACATGTTCAAGATCTTGTTGTCCACGATGGCCCTTACCGTATCTCCCTGGAATACCTTAATACTAAAGATGTGGCAGGCTCACACCTCCCAAGTGCTCGGGATTATCTCCTCACATCCTGGACTAAAACAGCATGCACTGTTTATTGTGATGCCTCCCAGAATGAGGCCATATCTCGCGGCTCTTCTGCCCGGAAGCTAGCAAGCTCTTTGACAAGCTTAATATCTGAGCCTCAATGGCTTGAACAACATCGGTATGTGACATCCTGAGGGTTAATTCCCATCATCTTCAGTATCTAATTTCATAACAGTGAATACGAGACTATTTCTACCCAACAAGCTCGATTTGCATATCTTATTGTTATTTTGAGCAGCGGATTCTGTAAGGCCTTTGATACTATCGTTAAGGTCTTGCTCAGCTCCATCTCCAGTGACCAGGCAAAAGTGCGGAGTCGAAGCTTAAAGAGCGTCATTCATATGCTTGAACGGGACCCAAGCCTACTAGATCGTGACGACTCCATTATGGACTTGATTCTTAGATGTGCAGCTGACTCATCCCCAATGGTCCGTGACTCTGCCCTTACTTTGACAGCCCGATGCATTTCCCTCAAGCCAGCACTGGAGAATGAGTGTTGCCGTGCAATATTAGCATGCGCTTCTGACCCAACTGTTGGTGTTCGAAAGCGATGCATAGGTCTGATGAGAGATGTATACACCGTAACATCCAACAAGGATTTGAGGATTTCTATCATAGAACAGATACTAAGGAGAGTCCAAGATCATGAAACAAACGTTGCAACCTTAGCACGGCAAGGCCTGGAGGAACTCTGGCTGTCACCACTCCATTCCACGGATAATTTTGACACACCGCAGGCCAAAGTATCTCTTGGAGAGTTGGTTGAGCTTTTCATAGGGGCAGTCCAAAGAGGTGATGAAGTGGTATCTAACCTTGAATCTTTCTTCAAAGCAGCCCTTCACCCGGAATCCAGAGCAGTGGTGCAGAATTTCAAAATATGCAAGGCGGCGGTTGCTACTCTCTTTGAAAATGTGGTCCACGGATCCAATACTGACCAGAGATCACTGCAATCTCATCTTCGAACACTAACGGTTTTTGCAAAGTCGAATCCCAAACTGCTCACTCCAGACCAACTGGAGACTCTTCACCCTTACATTGGACATCTTTCGAGTACAGACGATCTCCTACTTTTCCGTTCCGTGGTGGTCATATACCGTTGTGTTCTGCCAAATCTCTCTTCCGCTCACAATAACCTCCTCAAAGAGATTCAAAATGACTTGTTCAAGAGCGTCTCAAAACTTGCTAGGACTGAACTCAATGAAGTCATGGCTTGTTTGTGGACTATTAATGGGGTTCTGCAAAATACGGAGCGACTGGTCAAGCTTACAATATCCGTCTTGAAAGGAATTTACCAGGCATCAAACACCAAACTTGACGCTTCTACCAGCGGCGATGCCTTGGGTAGAGTCCGGAGTTATATAAGAATTGCTGGCTGTGTGGGGAAACATTGCAACCTGGAGAAATTTAGCTCATTCTTTGCCCAGGCGTTTCCAAAATCCAACACTGAATCTGTTTCTGGTCTCATGGTGGAGTTTATAGCTCCATTTGCATCTTCTATATACCCTCATGAGCTCAGAGTTATGTCATTAGAAAGTTTAGGGTCGATATGTGAAACTTGGCCCGAGCAATATGGCAAAGAGAAAGCTAGGCTAGCATTCTCCTCTGTTTTCAAAGAAGACAGTGGCGATCTCCAGGATATCGTCCTGAAATCTTTCCTCACATTCTTTTCTATTCATGAAGGTAAATCAGAAAAGTTTGTGAATACGGCTGAAACGAACGGTGATAGTGCCGATACCAGCAGACTTGGAGGGTCATTAAAGGCCAGTGCAAACGATGGTGCAGCGGCCTTGATAGCGCAAAATTTCCTTCCCCAGATGCTTCATGCTGCCATGTCGAAGCAGGATACTTTTGCACTGACTGCCATCGAACTGATCGCAAGCATCAACCGTCAAGGCCTAATCCATCCAAAGGAATGCGCAGGGGTACTAGTGTCCTTGGAAACTTCCCCTAATTCAACAATTGCTACTACGGCATATGACATTCACAAAATGCTCCACCAACAACACGAATCTATGTTTGACCGTGAGTACATGAGAGCGATTCAGGAGGCATTCTACTACCAACGCGATGTTATTGGTGATTCAACCGGTGCCTCGGTTCGTCCGTTCACTCCAAAACTTGCTTTACTGTTTGATATTGTCAAACTTAGCAACAGCAAGTATCAAAAGAAGTTCCTCACGAATTTTTGCTCCAAAGCCAACTTTGAACTGAAGAAGCTAGACACTTCAGGGAATCCGCCTGAATACCTGGAGCTTACACGGTTCGTGTGCCAAAACGTTGCATTCTTTGATTATGCCCAAGTCGCAGAACTTCTGGCCGCCATTTCTTGCATGGAGCGTATTGTGGGGACCACTGGGACCGCAGTCGCACATTCTATAGACACGGAAATCCTATCCGTGAAAGTACCAGAGGCTATCGAACAACTTGGACCACAGGAAGGAGAGCCCAATGTCATTCCTGCTCCAATTGATCCTACTGTATTAAAACGACTTGCAACGGCCGGCGCCGGCCTTTCAATGCTGTGGGAGACAAGGTCTTACCTCCGCCGTCTTTATAACTTGAACTTCCACTCTTTGCAAAAGGAAGGCAAAGTTGCCGCCAAAGAGCTGAACAAACCGGCCTCTAAAGTGCCAGGCATCAACGGCGATCGGTTCTGGGATACTATAGCACGAATTATGAAATCCTTGGACACCACTGACTCCATGACTAACATGTGCCGCGAGTTTTCTACTTTGATGTCAGTGGACGATGAACTCAAGATCGCCGGTGATGAAGATCGGGGCAGTCCCGACCCGTTTGCTGAAGTGAATGACGTGAGCAGTGTGATTGGGACTGCGGGAAGGCCTGTGAAACGAAAGAGCTCCGTCTCTAGTTCCACGACACCAAAGAAGAGACAAAGAGGAAGACCCAAGCTAGGAAGTAAACGCCCTAGTGAAGACTCGGACGAAGACAGTGACATGGATTAAAGGTTCTTCCATTTCAATATTATTGTATATTACCCTACCTTTCCTATATTATTCCATTTTTTTACAGGGGCGATGAGGCGCACGGGTCATTCCACCAGCCTTGATTTCATTTATCAACACTTATGAGCATCTTATGGTGAGCAATATCATGGCGGGCGAAACGGCACTTATGGTTCCAGGGGAGTTTGGCCAAAGAGGTCTATTATTTGATATGACGGGGGTGATCTGTGATTAAATATACATACTTGATAACATATAGATTATTTTTTTTTTCTATGCTGCAGAATTAACATGCTTGTCACAGTAACCAAACGTTTGGCAGCTATGAGAAAAGTAGCCAAAAAGGCATCTAAAAAAAAAGAAATGAATTTCTAGAACGGCAGCGTACAAACTACTGCTGTAAAAATATTATATACACAACATGAAATGATTGGGGGCGGTAGGCGCTTTATTTTGTCTTGATATATTTGAGCTTCCTAGACTCATGTAGGAAGTTGTTTGCGTAGGCCTTTGGGCGGAAAACGCGCTCATTTGGCTCCTGAACAAAGTATTCGTACCCCTGCTTCTCGGCAAATCGAATTGCATCTTCCTTTGACCTGAAATTGATATGGGTTCCCTGCATAGCGTCTGCGGAAGACTGCCATCCCATTAGTGGATTCTCCCAGCGGTGACCCTTGGATAGGACATCCCAATCCATCCTCCAATGGTGGCTGCGCCAGGTGCCAGATTGAGTAGCTGGTTTGGCACTACGGTATATTCTGTCATGGAACAAAGGTGAGTAGGTTGTATCATCAATTGGAAACTAGGGTCTGGCAGAACGGTACCTGACTGTTCGGGCCTGAAGGTCTGTTGGAGCACCGGAGAGAACGGCAGCAGCAACGACTTCACTTGGCTCGCTTCCGTCCATTACTCGCTTGGGAACTGGAGAGAACAGGCTAATGGGAATAACAATTAGCAGGTATGCACATGCACGTGTATTTTTATATGGGTATGAAAGCCCAAGGTAGAGGGCCCTTACGAGGTACCATGGTCAACAGTGGCATTGTAGTCGGGCTGATGGCGTGGAATGGATTCACCAGCAGACTCCTTGCGGGTTATAGCACTTCCGGTAGATGGTGTTGCGGGGGCATCTTGGGTGGTGGTCTTGATCTCTCCAGCGGCTTGATGGGTGGCGGAGGAGCTTAGGTACCGGGCATTGAGGGCGTATGCAGATCGAATGGAGCGGGTGCAGGTGGCCCCGATAGCGGAGGGCCCGCCAGCTCGCAGTAGTGGCATCGTGGAACTGAAGATACGTCGGCGTTTGGCCTGGGTAGAGTTGTGATTCTGTTCAACAGCGACGTTCTTGATATCTGCCGGTTGCGAGAACCACAGTCACGGGACCTTATGTAAGCTATCGGAGTTTCAGTTGTGCCGGTATCCATATGCGGTTTAGCGCGGACTCGCTGCGACTTCAACTTGACTCTCGCAGTCCGAACGACGGCAGAGCCATCGACGAAAAAGCACGAACTCTTCCGCTTCTTTATCCCCACCACGTAGTCGGTGACTTGTGTCCACGGTAATTGAGCTCCTGCTGGCACTATTGCATGGTTGTTATTGTCTTCAATACGCTAACCTGGTTCTCCGCGGAAAGATCCGATCATCATGAGCTTCATTGCCAGACGAGGGATCTCTACCCTCATTCCCCCAAAGGTATGTTCTAATCTTGGTGCTAGAACGTTAGGAAATGGATTTGATAGCTAATACAGTGTAGATTGCCTCTCCTTCGGTTCGTATACTGGACTATTCCCCTCAATTGCGCATAATCCCGTTTGATTCCCTGTGCCGTGGTCCTGGTGGATATTCAAACGACCACCATTGCAAGCATACAACACAGGAATGATACAGCTGGCTTACAATGCTATTAGGCAATCGGAGCTGCTAAGGATGCTGCTCGCATGGAGCGTGTGAGTGACTTTTACGCCAGACTCCCACGCGGTCCGGCCCCCGAGGCCAAGCCTTCTGGTCTTTTTGCCCGTTACCAGGCCGCCTACTTTGGCAAGAATGCTTCTTCTGCTCGTAAGTTTTTGAAATATCTCTTTGCATTAATATATTTATATTATCGGTCGATGTTGTATACTATTTTTACCTGTGGCAGAAAGGTTGGCCTTAAGTCTGCGTTGATTATATAGCTAACCGTTGCTTCATAGCCCTTGTCCATCTCATTATTGGCCTGACCCTGGTTGGCTACAGCATACAATACGTTACCCACCTCCGTAAGTACTCCTGGCGTCTACGCTCTTTTGGATAGACAGCCGTATGCTAACTGCTGCTTCCTGCCCCCAGGCCACCACAAGAACAACCCTCACTAGTCGGATAACAAACGACGCTGTACCACATACATGTAGATATTCAATAGAATGAATCACTTGCTTTAACCTATATTTTCTATCCTCCAAATGCCATCCTATTACCTGCTCGTCCTTGCCTGCCGCAAAAATTTCCAGACTGGAAGTTGGTGTGTATGTACCGCGCTAGCCTGATTGGGCGGCTCGTCTTGGCGCAGCTGGCCGACTTTCGTCTTTCAAAAGTGTCACTTTTCACTCTTCTCTTGATCTTGAATTCTACAACACCGTCAACTATCTTGACAACAACCGGCGTCTTGTTTCCGGCCTGTGATCGGCGTTCCTGGGCTTATTGTAGCTGGCACTTTTGGTTCGACCTTTTCTTTTGCCTCACCGGGATAGCAAGGAAGCTTCTGCTGCATCTTCTGCCAACGCGTGTCCGACCGGCCTGCCTGTGAAAGTCCTCCCTGCGGATAGGCTACTTGTGTGGTTCTCCGTCGCAATAACTAGTCTTTGACGATACGTACGTTTCTCACTTATACTGTGGTTCATTTTTGTCTGGCCTGTTTTGCGAAAAACAGAGGGCAAGAGTTGTGAATCCTGGATGGCGCTGACCCATGTTTCTTGAAGCTATAGAGCATTGTTATGGCAGAGCAGAGCAGCAACGATGTGGTAAACCAAACCCGGTCGGGCGGCGACCTCTCGCCTTCCGACGTTCCTGCGAGCAAACCTGACAATTTGACTGCTGGAGGGGACCGGGGGGATGTTCAAGCTTCTGATAACAACTCAAAACCAAAGGCAAACACACAATCATCGCAGGAAATATCAACGGGTAACCCATCGTCGACCGAAGCTAACGGAGTCGGATCGGAGAGCAACGATGCCAATACGAGCTTATCGCCAAATGTTGGAGATGGGAGTGGAGGATCGGATACAGATGCGAGTCGACCGGACGCACGATCTAACACTGACGGGGCACAACACTCTCGAACAAGTTCTGTAAAAAGGCCGGCATCATTCAAACCAGTTTCCTTCGCCAAATTTTCCGTGACGAAACCCCCGGGCTCGAATGGAAATAGCAAAGCAAGCCCAGAGAAAGGTATGCACTCTTCCTTTTCATGACGAGCTTTATGTGTTCTCCAAGGACAAAATATTGATACTCTATACACAGCACCGTTTCTAACATCAACTCCGCCGTCATCTACGTCGACACCTTTAAGCTCGAGGCCACGGCTAGTCGCAAAATCTGGAAGTGGGCTACGGGATTCTTCTCCCCGGACCTCTACGGCAGGAAGTAAAAATGTCTCGGGTGCCCCCGATGCCAATCTAGTATGGAATAAAAATCGGCGTAAGTGTCTTCCGTAGCATAAAGGCTTTCTACAAACTAACAGTATTTTGATATAGCTGTTCAACCACCTCCAACAAAACACCTAACGGATGAAGAGCTGAAGCAACAATATGGAATCCACATGACATCACGCATACAGACCGACGACAACGAGAAGGAAGCCAAATGGGCCGATATTGATGATGATGAGGATGACTGGGCTCCTGAAACTATTGAATGGAACGATGGCACCAAAATTACCTTGACTCATACCGAAGGCAGTGCGCCGGGATCCCAAGAGACCAGTACTCTAGCTAATAGCTCAAGCGATCAAAAAAGACAACCCTCACCAGCCAACAATATGCCACCAGCACGCGAAGCCCCTAAACTTTTACTTTCGAAACCGTCAAGTTCTCTTGGGTCCAATACTACAATCTTAAAAGTCGGTGCAAGCGCCGAAAAGCAGCAATCTAAACAGGGTGGCGATTTGTCAAAGAATACCAATGATAAGCCCACACTAACGTCAAAGGGCGCTTCTGCGGTGCGGTCGCCGTGGGCCCCATTACCGCCTGTGGAAAAGGCGTCTCCTCTAGCACCTAATCCTCCAGCTCAAAATCAAGTTCCTCGGTTTAACCATGTTGAGCCTTCTAGGTTAGATGCCGGCCCAGCTCCTCCTACGAAAGAAATTGCTGCCGATGACTTCAATAGGTCCTGGAGAGATAGACAACCTACTGCTCCCCGAGAACTTTACAATTCGCAATCAGGTCGATACGAACCCGTCTCAGACAACAGACATGGACATCTGAGGAATGATAGATCGGGGAAGAATGATGGCCATTTTAGGCCTGCTTCCCTCCTTCAACGGTCTATGCATGAACAATCTGGACCCGCGGAACCATCACCTGCCTTTCAGACTCACAGAAGCCCGACAGAAGGCAGCCAGTGGGGACGTCGACGCGCTTCGTCGAACGTAAGTGGAGGTAGTGGAGGATTCGCCAGAAGAATGTCTTTAACTAGACCCGAACTTCCATTCAAAGGCGGACCACCGTCCACAGGGACGCTTGAGAGGTCGGCCTCACCAAATACCCGTCAAATGCAAAATGGTCCAGTGGCTCCGAGTCTGGGTTCCCCATCTCAGCAGTCACACAGGAGTCTTGATCATGGACCTCCCAACTTTAATCAGACTTCACCTAGCTCTCAAACCAATGTGCCCTCTCAAGGTGCCGCGGATGGCCAAACCTCTCAACCTCCAGTCATGGTAGAAGACCCCGTTGCGATGCAACAAAGAATCATGCGGGAGAAACGAGAGATGGCCAGACAACGACGACTAGAACAGGAAGCTAAAGAAGAGG